GGGAAGGATTTTCAGTTTGACGTTGAGAAATAATTCTAAATAAGTTCATACCCCAGTGTAGATAGCATCGTTGCATCTTAAACCCGCATTCTGTTTAACAGCCAGCAGGGGGCGACTCCTCTGATTGCAAACAAAGGTCTATTTGTATACAAGTCTATGAGAAAATGGCCTTTATTCTCACTTGATTTATTCCCTTAGGAAACACCTTCCTTATAAATTTATGTCCTTAATCGTAGTTCTACGTCCCCTTCAATACAGCATGGTGTTAATTTTGTACATTTTGGCTCCATTTAGAGAAAAATAGACGATAAAGCCGGGTATGTTTCAGGGTGTTGCTCACCCATTATTAAAGTGTATTCTACGATCCATAGTGTGACATCATGGTGTTTACCGCTATCTTTTATGTCCAGTCTATGAAGCTGTGTTAAACTAAATAGAAGGAAACACCGCTCTTAGTGTATCTTTAACATAATTCCTTTTTCATCGAAAACGGGGCCCCACAGACTAGCGGTAGTCGAAGCGAACGTTCATTCTCCGGAGAATTGATTCACTATATTGTACCACCTCCATCACAATGCTGGGGTGACAGAGTATTTATCTAAGAGGCAAGCAAGGTGGAAATAACTTTGTCAGCCACAGTGTGACTGCTCATTCTTCAAAAAATACAGAAACCATTGTGTCACATAAACAGAAACAAATCACTATTTGTACTTGGTGCCTTTTTTTAATACTATCAGTTCAGACAGATGGTTTGCTGTGCTTCACATGGTTGGACCTGGAACTGAGGCAAACACTGATGAATTTGCTGAATGTTTTGGGGGTTTTTTTCCCCTCCAGCTACTCTCTCAACTAGATCACAGTGGCACACGGGCAGGTTAATAAATGTGTCACACTCTGTTTGTGTGATACATGGCACAAGAGACATGGAAGAAATTGGATGGGGATGTTCATATTTGAGATGCATGGCGCATTCTGAGGAGGTACAGTAGGAGTCAAGCAGCTCTTTGAAAAATATCTCCAACGGATGAAGCAGAATCTAAGTACAAAGAATGTTCAATTAAACTCACAGACGTGCGGCAGTAAGAGAAGATTAAGCCAAAGTGTGGACACTGTTGCTGTCATTAGCAGATTGATGATTGCAACAGTGTCCAACAAAAGGCACAGATATAATGATCAGCCTTGGCTACTGTGCTGTTGTACATCCAAACCACAATAGAAGGGGGAAAAGACAAATGATGTTATTGGTTCTGTGCAACTTACAATGCTGTAGGTTGGTTTACGGGGAGGAAAATGTCGCTGAAGTGGTGGATCTGGGAGAATGAGCCACAGAACCCAGAACCTGGAGAACAGCACCATCTGATGGCCTCTTTGTGTTACTGTAACTCCTGCAAAACTCCAACACAAAGTTTTTGCACCGAGACTTTTTTTTTTCGTTCTTTGTTTGCTCTTTCATGTCATGTTTAGCTGCTTCTGTGGTTCATCATGACCATGCTACATTCCAGCGTTACATAATTTATTAACTGGGTTTTTCAGAATGATGGTTGGTTCAAAAGACCCACTTGTGATTTCGTGCACGTTTTCCCATGACCCCGCTGTAAAGTAGACTTCATTTGCATGCCTAATGTGTCTTGGAAATTCATCTAAATAGACTATAATCACGCTTATTGAAGACTTGTCAGTGCAAATTACTGCTTTGCTGAGGAAATCCCTTTGTGCCACCATTTCAGCAGCAATAAAAGATATGGAAATCTGGCTTCAAGCAGTAATTCAGCTAGAAATTCCAAAGTGAAAGCCAATTTTCCAGACAAAATGCTTTATAGAAATTTAAATACAATGAAATAAACAATGTACTAAAAAAAACTTTAAGTTAGTTGATATATGAAAATGCATTTCACAGGCAGCTATAAGAAAACAGGACTAGAATGAAAGACTGAACTCGAACTTTAACCTTGCCAAAGCTGAGGTATAACTGAGACAGACAGCGAAGAATTCTCTGGTTGCATATCACTCACATATTTTGTATTTTCTCCTTTACAGAGGGATTTATTTGACATTAGTTTGTCTGCTCGTTGCATTTACTAACCAGTATAAGTTAATGATAAGTCCTGTTTGACTTATCATTCATTCAGCCAGAAGCTAATTAAACTTTTGCTTGAATAGCTTCAAAAATGGCCCTGAAAAGCTCTATATTCTATAGTCTTATAATAAAACTACAAGTTCTGTCTCTCACATGGGTATAATTGTTAAAATAAAACATAGCATATATAGTAAAGGAATAAAATAACTGAAACGTTGCCCCCTACTTGCCATCTTATCTCTTAGTTCATCTCCTGCCTCCTCTTCTTCTTAATCAGCCACTTTTTCTCCTACACTCCAAAAAGTCATTCGAAGAACCTATTACTGAATTAAATAAGTGGTTGCGAGATAAGAAAAACATCCAATTTACTGATTTCGATCAACTCTTTAAGTTACAAACATTATTTGGATTGGTTGTGTTGATGTCACAGAGTTGGTAATTGTATCAAATCAATATTGTGTGTAACTTAAACTCAAAATTTATGTGTTAATGTATTTAACACTAAAATCAAGTTGAGGTAACTTAAAAAAGGTTGAATTACTTAATTGTGGGATTAAAAGTCCCTCCTCTGTTTTAACATGCCTGGACAATTTCAGAGAGTTAAAACTGGGAATTAAAAACACAGTTGATTGTAGAGGAAAGGTAATTTCTCTAAGTCAGTGTAGGTTCTTGATTGTCTTAACTCAAAACCACTGATACAAACTATTGCGTTAATTTGTTCTTTTGATCCCCAAACAGTTTTTTTTAATATTTAGTCTAGCTTTCTCCTCTCTCAATCTTTTCCTCTGTCTCATCCTGTTTTCTCCCCCGAGCCGGAGGATGAACACTTGACTTGTGTGATCATTGATTCAATAATCAAGAACGAGATTGTGCTGAGAAAGCCGGAGAGAGCGAGCTCCCCGACAGGAAAACCAAAGAACCCGGTGACAGTCGTATTGTTTTCCCCTGTGAGCACTCAGACACCCAACAGTGAACCAACAGCGATGATAACTTACCTTGAGCTGAAGTGGGTGACAAACCCAAGGGCCCTGGTTGTAAACAGAGACAGGCATTTAACTATTTTAAATACCATTTGATCTCATCGGAATTTACTGGAAAAGCTCCTGGAAAAGGATCGTAGACAGTGGAGTCACGCACCACAATCAAAAAGTCCATAAGATCATCTTCTCACAACATGAGACCACATTGAATATCCCTAAAATGTTACTCCAGAACCACAAACATTTGCCTCACACGCAAAATACTGTTTCATTTTAGCTCCATGTTCTCTTCACCATCAGTCTAGTTTGCTTCATTTCCTTTAACTTACTGTTTCATGGTTTAGTTTCATATGACATTGTAGCTCCTGAATTTCAAATAAAATGTGTCAATAAGAAGATAAATCCTGTGTAGGACTGTTTGGTTGCTTTTTGTGTTTCTTTCAGTGCTGCCTTAAGATGACTCCAGGGACCAAAAAGAAAGAAAAAAAAACAAAAAAACAAAGAGAGGAATGATAAAATAAACCTGCACTGTGTTTAAAGAGATGAAGAACAGCCTCCAAATGAGACAAGAGAAGGAAGAACACGGAGGTGATAAACAGCTGCAGGATGAAGGAAGAGGAGGAAGAGGAAAGGAAAGCAGCACTTTAAAGTTAGCAAGGAATGCATGGAAGCTGGATGTTTAGTATTATCTGTCATCACGCTGTTAGCAGTGTGTAAAGAAAGAAGGTATGGGCTGTAGGAGTGAAATCAGCTCCACAGATTTTGCATTGAGAAATGGCATTATTTATACAGACGGACCTGACAATGTCACCAGATAAGGGAAAGGTACTAATGAAGAAAAAGGAGAGAATTAGACACAAGCTCAATCACATACTGGATACAGAAGAGCAGCTGAGTCATAATACTTTGCTAACTGTAAAATGCTGCATGTGTTTTAAAGTCCTTCTCTGGAAAACTAAAAACTCATCCCCATGTTTTTTTTCCCACATTCCCTTTATTCCTTAAAATATCTTAGATGTACCCTCTACACTGTTGCTTCCTGTAGAATTTGCAGATCTACTTCATCACCTCTCACCATTTATTGCAGCTCGAGCACGCCAGCTCACCAACAACTCTGCTCAAACACTGTAAAACTACACAATGGAAAGTTGTGATATGGGATTAACTCAACAATACAAGTTCAAACCTGGAACCAACAATGATGATACAGAAAGTTCTGCTCTTTTCAAGTTGAGAGGATTTGTTTTCATTAGTTTGATACATATGAAGTCTGAATGCATGTTTGCCTAAAATGCTAATGATGTGTCACCTAGCGTATAAAACAGATTATATGGATGTGTTAACGAGGTTAAGGAGGCTTGGCTGACATATTTTAAACTCAGATGCTGAGTGACACATGAAAAGCCCCAAAATGTTCAGCCTGTCTGAAATGTTCCATCTGTTGTAACGGACTCATGTTTCAAGGGTGATGACGTTGCATTTGTCTGTATTGCATCACTGTCCGTTAATTCAGCAATCGCATTACTGCAAATAATCAACTGTTACTTTGAGGCAGTGTTAGTGCCACCTTGATCGTTCTCTGCACTTTCCTGTGAGGAGATCTTTGGGCAGGTTTTCACCACAGATGTTACCTATGTGCTAAGATCTTACGTTTGTCCTCGATAACAGAATAAGGATCTGTGCTGATATAAGAGCATACGTAAGGTTTACCATTATATTGCTAACCTGCGATTATGTGACTGTGCCTGAGTGCATCTCAGGCGATGTTGCCTGTAGAGAACAAATTCCTTTCTACAGGGAGAAATGCACTGAAAAAGCAACAAGTAATGTGTAGTTCAGAACTTCTTTTGAACAATGACCACAACACTGATGGTTAGCCAGACTATCAGGCCTGTATATAAAGAGAGGAAGAAAAAAAGAATTAGCAGGGCAAACACAATTGATCACTGCTGCGTCCAGTTCAAGAGATGTTTCTTTTAATATAGAAATGTTCAAAATTTGGCAGTTACTGTTTTATAAGATACAAAGGTCAGGAAACAAGCACCTTATCGAGGACCACTGAAGATACGTCTCTGACTGAAACCTTAAACCATCACATTGTTTGGGGAAAAAAAACGTATCAAGCAGATCTTCATGATGTAATATTTCATCCGTGGTGTTAAACTCCAGCACAGAAACTGACCTTTTAATGGTCTGTTTTAAGCCACTCCTGCTTTCCTCTGGTTTCCTCTTGGCACTGCAGTCTGATGTCACGTCAGAGGACGTGAGTTTAGCTCCTGTGTGTTGGTATGTGAGGATGAGGCCAGTTCCTGGACTGGAAGTAGCCCCTGAGTCCTTCCAGGTCCACAGCAGGAAAGTAGAGTCCGATACGTTTTCTTATCCACCACTTACCCTGTGCAGCGTTGGCGCTGCCCGGCTGGCTGAACTTGTATCTGAAATGTTCTCCTCGAACCCACCTGAAGGGAGATGGATGCAGAAAAAAAACACGGAGCTCACGTAAAGCAAAGATTCCTAACCTCAGCATCACCTCTACTTGTTAGTGAGAGACAGAGAGTTTCAACTAATTCAACCTGAGTTCTGAAAAATAGCAGTTAACCATCAGTGTGTTTTATGTTGTGGAGCTGCCAAAATTGTCTTTAACTCAGAAAGGTAAATCAGAGGCCAGGCTTGTATTTATCAAACTGTCAAAAGTAAAACTCTGGACTTGAGTAAATAATGAAGGTGAGGATTTATTTTGACTCCAACTCAAAAACGTAAGAATAAAAACTGTTTATCGAACTTGTTTTGACTTTAAAATATAATAAAATCCCAGAGCTGCAGAGAAGATTTTAGGAGCAGATACTGAAAGACTGCAGTGCAGAAACAGAGTTAAGCACACCACTGTTCTCCGTGTCATAATATTCATAGCACGTTAGCTGAAGCAATAGAATTCAGAACTGTTATTTGAACATTTCAAGACTTCAAATTGTCGTCACATATAAGCATCTGGGGACAGTGTTTGACTCTCAACTCAAGTCTGGTGTCGACTCGAAGTCAATTATGAAGTGTGGATGACAAAGGGTTCACTTAATGCGGAAATTTTCGATTCTCTCAGTGTCTGTGATACTGTTTGATATGATTCCTCTAACTTTTTCATTTCTTTGTCGGTTTAGCAGATTGTCTAGGAGGGACAAAAACAATCTTATGCTTCCTTTAGGAGAAGCAGGCGGCAAAGAAAGTTCTGTCCAACATATTGCCTGCACTAACAAACCACTCGTCCAAGTCTTTCTGCAATCAGACTCCTAAACACTGACCGCAGTCATTTAGTCTTGAAGACCTTTTTATTCTTTTGAACTCAGCCATCCATCCATCCATCCATCCATCTATCCATCCATCCAGTATCCATACACCACTTAATCCTCACTAGGGTCATGGGGGGCTGGAGTCTATCCCAGCTGATTCAGGGTGAAGGCAGGGGACACCCTGGACAGGTCACCAGTCTATCACAGGGCTACACTTAGAGGCAGACAACCAAGCACACTCACATTTACACCTATGGACAATTTAGAATCACCAATTAACCTCAACGTGTTTTTGGACTTGTGGGAGGAAGCCGGAGAACCCAGAGAGAACCCACGCTGCACGGGGAGAACATGCAAACTCCATGCAGAAAGATCCTGGGTGTCCTCACCGAGACGCGAACCGGCGACCTTCTTGCTGCGAGGCAACGATACTAAACACCACTCCACCTTGCAGCCCCTTTTGAACTTATTTGTTTATTTATCTATATTAATTATTACTTATATAAACGATAACAAATTCTTGTACCTTTTTTGCTGCTGCTTGTTGTTCCCTCATTGCTTCCAACACACAACTGTTTTGCTTTTATGCTTTGATGTTACGCACGTGAACTGGATGAGCTGCAAATTAATTTTTGGGTTCAGTAGCCTGATTCTGCATCAGATTAGGATGTTTTTCTGTTTTCTGGGGTTTATCAAGGATGCAAGCCAAAAAAAAAAAAGATAAAAAACATAAAAATCAATCAGTGAGACATTAAAAGCTCATCATACGATTTCTCTGATGTACTGAGTCTGCCAACATCAGAATGTCCAGCAGCAGACTTCTCTTTCCTCTCCTCTTATTTCATCTCTATTTATAAAGTAATACAATCTAAAAGCATGAGCTTCCTACTTATTTTACAGGCATCAACAAAATGCAGAGAAATAAAATAATGAAGTTACAAAAACTACAACCATATATGTGTTTGTAAATCAATGTATCACTAAATATTGAAAACCAAAATAAGTTTTAAGCATGAACAATACAGCAGACGTAAGATTAGTCCATACCTCACCTCAATTGTTACATGGATTGCATTGCTCCATTAAAGCATTATTTGCAGTAATTTCTACAATTCTGACAAATACGGGACTTGAAAATCTTCAGAAAACTCCCTAGTAAGCCAGAATCTCTCAGTTCATATTGATCGCTAGCAGCTGAAATGATTTCTGATGATAGCAGGCACTTGAGCACAAGAGAACTCAAATCACATGCATATAAACTATTACTTATCTAGATATATAATGCTACTTTTTTGGAAAATATATGTATATATTGTCCTAACAAATGCACTGCAAACAAGTCAGGTTTTCTATGTGAGTGAATAAAGATTTGATCTGATCTTTGCTTCACCAGAGGGGGCTACAGGACAGAGAATAATCACTAGTGAGAGTCTGGGGTTGGAATTTTTCTGATCCATGCGACACACATTTAATGACTGACAGCTAAATGTGTGTACCAGAGCTCCAGTGTTAATAGGACAGATACACGCTAAAAACTGAAGAACTTTAAGCAATAGGAGCATGTTGGTGATGTTGGTGCCGACCGTGTGCCTCATGTTTACCTGGGTGGGTCCCTGCCGTGGAAGGGGTTGTGGTCAAGCAGCGAGAGGACGGAGCTGTCGTTGGACAGCAGACGTCCCGCGATGTGGATCACCCACTCACTCTGCTCATAGGTCTGTGGGAACACATGGAAACAATGTGTTAGAGGTTAACGGAAGATAAGGGCGAGGAAAGAACAACACAGACAGACATAAATGTGGGGATGGAAGAGTTTTCAAAAAAAGGCAGAAACAGGACGCGCAGAGAGGTAAAACCAAAAACGAGGATTAAAAACTTAAAGATGAAGAGAGAAAGAGTGTGTGTGTGAGAAAAGAGGAGACAGTTATGAGAGTGAAAGCAAGAAACAGAAACACAGACAGCAAAAGATTACCAGATAGAGGCTGAAGAAGAGACAGATTAGAGTAACTACATGGAACTGCTGCCCTCTCGTGTCCCACATAGCATGCTAACGCTTTTTCACACTAATTAAATTCCATTTGCATGAAAAAAGCCACAATAGTGATGAAAAAGAGAATTTTCCATTTATACGAGGGTAATTAGTTTATTGAAAAACTGGGCTACCATGTTCCTACTCTGGTTGTGTATCAATCCTCACCTGGAAGGCTGCGAACCACATGAGCCAGTCCAGCCGGTAGTGGTACGGCGATATGAGGCACGGTCGTCGGTAAATGTCTCCTGGTTTACACAGGAACTGATACTCCTCCCAGACAGCCTCGGGGTCTTTGGGATCTGGGCTCAGGGTGCCCTGGAAAATCACCTCGGTACGCTCCTTAGTGATGCTGATCAGAGGAGAACAGAATCAGGGCAAAGCGGAAAAACAAGATTAAATACTTTGCTTTTACGAGCACACGCTCTCACATCAAAGGTCTAATGATGGAATTAGAATATGCATCATACAGCAAATAGGCTACATGTAATTATGTGTTGCAGCCACATATTAAAAGGGAATCGGCTCAGTTTTTCTAATGAAACGCAGATTGGATCTGACCTCACACAAATACATCAACATGTCTCGTAGGTTTTACATTCAGTGGTTCTGTACAACAATTGGATAAATACTGACAAGCTAATTGATGGCTACAGAATAATATGTAGCTCGTCTTCAGCACCCAGGACTCCTTTATTGATTTATTTTTTTCAACAAAGGAAAGCACCCCAAACAAAAGTTTTTTTTCATCTTTTTTTGCACTCTGATGAGATTCTGATGTTTACAAGGTCAAAAATACACTTTAAATCTTTTCAGCCAAAATGGGTACAAGCCCTTAAAGCTAATGTGAAATTTGAACAACTACAGTTTCACAACAACTAAGAACTTCCTTCAGCTTGGGAAGACAATGCTAAATGAGAAGGAGAATTCACCACCACAAGGGAAAATTCAGAAGTAATACAACGGCCAACTGAGACTAACGACAAAAAGATATCAATCCCAAACAGATCCTATACTTTGGTCAGTAGAAATATTTGTTACAAGCAGAAGTTCTACATAAAAAAATGCTATTTACTGTAAGTAAAGCACAAAAGTGTAAACAAGGAAAAGATTCCAAGTATTAAATGTACTAAATGGAGTAGAATGGCCCCTGAGACTCACATATTTTATATATGATTAGATTATGGTTTCCACTGTTGTCATTGGTTGATTTGGAAGTAATTTTTGTATTTTTCTATTATTTTTAATATGATTACACTTAGTTTAATACAGTCCTGCACTAAATTCGACCTTTCACGAAGGCAAAAGTGTTCAAATTTTGTTGAAACTGAATCATGTTGATTCAACTTTTAGGTCACTTTGAAGGCTGCAGTTTTAGGTACTGTTGAACTGTACTGCATTAGACTGGTACTCTGTCTATCTAATGTTTTGCCCACTCCATTTATTTCAGTGTAGGTAGGCTTAAATAAAAGAAACTCCAAAGCACCACAAATGAAACATTACACCATGAAGACCTAAGTGCTTGTACCACAATGCTTGTTAATATTCCACACCTTAAAATTACCAACAAAAAAATTAATATTATAATAAGTGAGACAGTCTATTATCCTGTTTTAGAAGCTAGAATCATAAAATTTGGGGCAACTGCAGGTGTCAAACAAACTTAGTGGAGTAACACAAACATACATTTCCCACTAAAATAGTATAAAGTATAAAACTCAAGTAAAAGCACTTTCCAACACCGATCACTGATGCATGTAATGACTGCTAAGGATGCAGTGAACTAAAACTCTCCAGTGATTCAATACAAACAGGCCTGCAGCACAAAAAGCCCCAACTTCCTGACCTCTGTGACCTCCGTGACCTTCGTGACCCCTGACCGTACCTGCCGAAGGCCCCGTAGGTGTTGACGATGCGCAGCGGGTCGAAGGAGGTGTTCATCACCTGCCTGGAGCTCAGCAGGTTCATCACCACGGGGACGCTCAGGAAGCCGATCAGAACGCCCACAGAAATGTTCACCACCCGACGAATCAACATACCTGACACACACAAAGAGAGAATGACAAAACTGCGATTTGCATTTTAATATAATTACAGAAGATAGTTTGTGGGTTGTTTGAGCTCAGTTCTGTCAGTCATGCACTTTATCTGGACATGGCTCCGAGTAAAATTTAATGAAACTGCACAGAGCGATGCATGTCGCTGCTCACGTCTAGCCTACAGGAGCTGCTGCACTGTTTGTTTACTTGTTAAATGTTGTTGACTTTAAGAGAAATAATGCATCCCAAGGCGAATTTTCAAAATGAAACTGAGCAGCCGGAGGAAAAACTGTGATTACAGCTTAAATCAAGGTGACATAGTTGTTAGCGTCCGGCCTATTGAGGCAGGGGAGGGAGGGGCGTGTCGGAGTCAGCGCTGCTAACAGTAGAACCCACTGTGTGTGTGTGATCGCTGTGGAAAAAGGTTTGGACTGTTAGATCATGGGATTCCTGGTATTGACAAACGTTGGCGGAGTCTGCGTCAGTTCCTTCCTACCTGTGTCTGCCTGCTTATCCCACGCATGTTAAAGACATCAACATAATCCAAATAAAACTTTTTCTCACTGCGACCAACTCTCCAGGTCTGCTCAAATGATTAAAACACGCTCACGCTTCGGCTACGACGCTATTTTATATTCAACATCCTACAATAAAGTAAAGACACTAATGGGTCCAATGAGACCAATTAGGGAGGGGCCACTCTCACACTTTTACTGCATTTTAAACGGTCTGTATTGTAAAAATATAAGCGGCATCACTTTAAATTCCAATAAACCATATGTCATGCATTTCCCAGCTACTCAGCTGTCCAAGTGCTAATCCCTTATATTCCCATAATTCCCTCCCCAGTATGGCCAGACCCTCTACCATCGCAGCCCTAATGTTATATTTTAACTATACCCAGCACATTGTGTGTGAACCTTTGTTGTAAATCTAATGACTCATTTCAAACTAAGATACCATTTTCTTTTAAAGCTTAGAATCTGAATACCTCTGTTAGGTTTTACAGTGCGACCAGCTGCATCCTCATTCTGTATCTCCAGCACCGTCTTCTTGGCTCCTGATCCGGAGCGAAACAGGAAGCCCAGTGATGCATCATCAAAGCAGGCCAAACTGGGAACAATGGTCAGCCAGTTCAGAAAACTCAGGTTCCCACTCACTATTAAAACCACCTACAGGCCAAAAGACAAAGCAGGAAGAAAGGTCATAGTTACAATAAAAATGACGTGTTTTCTTTTTACAGTTGTACGAAGCACTTCACAAAGAATAAAACCAGATCTGGGAGAGAATTCTGAATGAAGCCAAGGGAGATGAGCACAGAGGAAGTAGAGACAGTAAAATGAATAATCAAAGTTTTCACAATGAGAAAAGCATTAAGGACAGATTTAAAAGAAGCCAGAGACTTAGTGTGTCTGAGTTCAGTATGCAGGGTTTAATATACTGGGGGAGCTCTAATAGCAGATGCCCCGTGACCCTTGGTCACAAATTGGGAATAACCAGCAGGGTTCTGTCTGCAGATCTCAGTGATCAGATGGGCACATATTAGGTGAATAAATCATGATCTACTTTGGAATACTAACGTATTCAGGTGCAATAAAATTTTAAATCAGTTTGAAAGCCAGTGTAGGAAGGTATCAACTGGAAAGAGCCCTGCTGGATCCTGAGATAGTCAAGCTGAGAGTAAATAAAGGCACTTCTTGTAGATCAGCATTTGCTAACATGAAGAAAGCTCCAAAAATCAAGTCATATAAAATAGGGTTCTTTTTTTTAGAACCAGACTAATGTGACATGCATGAGCTCTGGCACACACTGCACATGATGCACAAATTTAATTTGAGTATACAGTGACAGATAAAGCTAATAAATGCAATAAAACGACCCTGTACATCAGCCAATAAACCTGTTAATGTAATAATAATGTTCTAAGTTGTGTCCCCTACATAGAGTACATTTAAACTCACCCTCACTCACATTCCTGTGTTTGTGGTGTTTCATTGCTGCTGTTCCGGTTTTTGGAGCTTCTGAATGTTTTGGTTGAACAGATTCAGTGTTTGGTTGTTTAAAAATACTGTAGAGTTGCATTGCATTGCCTCTCACATTGAACACAGAAAAACACACACGGCTCCTGGGGATGTTTCTGAAATGCTGGCTGTGACTTTGCACTTTTTAGGCAACAGGATATAGCAGCTAGTTAGAGATTGGCCTGTAGCTCCGTGTCACTGATTATTCCTGAGGTGTGCCAAGCGCTGTGGGGCAGTCCTGCAAATGGAGGTTGTTGCCTACCCATCATAAGCACAGTTGGTGGATGTAGCAAAGGATTTCTGGAGAATTTAAAACTTCCTTTCTGTGTTTGGGCTCCGTCGGTGGAAGGCATGTACATCTCAAAGCAAATCTGGCAGCGACTACTTAAGTTACAGCTCGGTTAATGATGAAATATAAACATGTGGATGATGGAAAACCTCCTCTCTTCAAAGCATTTGAGTACCATTTGTCTTTGTAGCGTATGTGCAGTCTGCACATTACAAACTTTGGGTTGCACACACACATACACATGATGAAATTAACATCACATGTGATCTCAAAGACACGGAAAGCAATAATTGGATTAAAGTGCAATTCCATTGAGCTTCTGACTTCTTTTATCTACCTTTACATGCATTTTCAATATGCACATATAAACCTGAGGTGTAGGTTTTTATGCACAAACTGGACATTTGGAGAAAAGAAATCTAAATAAGACAAATTAAAAATAAATAAATAGCAGCAGATGAACACGTCATATCATTTCTGGAGTACTAAATAATACATTAAACAAACACAAGTGTTTTTACATTTCCATCATATATCACCTTCGGACTACTATGATTTATTGGCATAATCTGTGACACCTACACTGAAATTAAATGTCTGTTTTTCAGTTTATTTCAATGTAGTGTAACAGATGCTATTCTTCCCTATTACTCACTAATTTCTGATGTCATGATTTTTGGCTGAAGTCATTGCTCAGCTACAGTAAGCACTACAGTTTAAGCAAAGCCTGACTCAGTTCAGTTTAAAAGTTTCCACAAATGATCACAAAACAAAAAAGCTAGTTTGTGCACTGAGTTTTGATGGTGTATCATAGCAACAGCATTTCAATGTGCACACACCTGAAAAAAAAAAACAGACAGGCGCTACACTGGACAGCCAGAAAAGTAAAAACCACCAAGTGTTGCTGACTCATTAGTAGGTAGAGCTTTTCAATATGTGCTAGATTTGCAACTGCTGAATTAACTAAAAAATAATACAAAATGAAAATAAAATAAGTGATCGATCTTTGTTTGATCTCAATGAACCAACTCCTACCAAATAATTTATTGAATATTTTCCGTACCAGTGTCTGTTATTATCAGGTGGTGAACAGTGTCGGTTACCTGGAAAAGGATCTGGATCGCTCCATTCACGATGCACATCCGCCTGCCCAGGAAGGTGAAGAACGGGACAATGAGCTCGATGAAGTGGTTGGACAATGTCTCGAAGCGATGGAACCACCAGGGAGAGCGATGCATGTAGTAGGACATGGGGTTGGGAACTGGCTGGGTCTGGAGAGAGATAAAGGACAAGTATTTTCTAGACTTTCATGATCTTTATTTAAGTATTTTTTGATGAATTTATGCATTTGATTATGTGTCTGCTCTGCGTTTTCAAAACTTGCTCCTGCTGCTAAAGGTGGAAGATTTCTCTGCTTTACTTTGGCACTAACTCTTGTCTCAGAGTGGGATGGAGAGTAATTTATGGTGCCACACCTTGAGGGAAACGTTTCCATGTCTAAATAAAGATGGAACTTCATTTAAATGAACCCTACCTACGCACACTCAGAGGTTTCATACAGCAGCGTGCACTGTTTGTGTGAGTAAACGTGTGTGTGAGCGTGAGGTGGCTGCATGCAAACCGTGTAATAGCTGCAAACAGTGTCAGGTAAGGCGGTGAAAAATAAATACAGCACAGAAATAGGTGGAGCAACAAAGAAAACAAGACAGCTGGCAACGTAATCTATACTCTAATTGTTTTCATGGAATAGAGGAGGGAAAAAAAGGGGGTTATTTGACCTGTAGCTTACCAAAACACACCTGGAAATCCAAGGGAAGGGAGCCTGCAACCTCAGACGACCAAACAACCCCACATGGTCTGCAAACTAACAGCGTTACGACAAACAGACCAAGGCAAACAAAACGCCAACTATGCCGAAACACACCTACACAGCCCCCCGAGAGCCGGGACAGGCGGAGATCTGCAGTTCCTCAGCAGATTTGAAAGGGAGCAGTGTGTCAGAGGGGGTTAATAAGGCTTCACCTGGCGCCAGTGGCTTCCGGTGCGCCGTGTGTGCGTGTAAATCTACATTAGCCTTTAGAGCTGTTGACAGCTGAAATTGGACCAGGTCGGGGGGGAACTGACCCAGCACGGAATAAGCTCCGCATTGTAAGATGATTTGTCAGGTGACAACACATTTTCTGGTACACTAACCTAAAATACATGTCAGCATGTTACTAAAAATCCCAGCTGCAGGCATTTATTTCAGAGTTTAATTCAGAGTGTAGTTAAAGCAGGAGTCTGCAGCTTTTGTCAGCCACAGTGGCCACACAGCGATTCCAGCATTAAATTAAATGCTGATGTTAAAAAGTAGTGTAAGGATATAAGGCATACTGGGGAGTGCCTCTTTGATGAAATGCTGGGATGAAGGACACCATATCTGAACATATTCCAACTACTTTTGTATGATAGGTTAGCATCACTCAGGATAAAAAGACCAGTCAAGAACAGGCTTCTCCTCCATTTTCTTTCCTTTTCAGGGTGATAAATCCAGTTGCCTGAAAAGGAGTGAAAACAGGCACCTTTCTGAACATTTCATGGATTTCAAATGGGAAGTGCTTAAAACTGCCACAGTAAAAGTGTGAGATGTAAATGATATTGCGTGCCATTGCCAACAGACAATATTGTGCAACTGTTTTTGTAGACTTGGCTAAGGCATTTGACTCTGTCGACCACTCCATTCTGTTGGAAAGGTTATGAAATATTGGTTTGTCCAAGAATTGTGTAAGCTGGTTCAGAAGCTATGTCCTGGGCGCATGCAGTCAGTGAGGGTGGAGGGTCTTGTCTTAGACCTTTTACCAGGTCACAAAGGAGTCCCACAGGGTTCAATACTTGGTTCAACACTCTTTGACATTTACATCAACAATATAACCCATGCTGTAAACAATTTTCACATTAATCTGTACGCTGATGACACCATTGTCTATACATCTATTTTCTCCCTCCACACTGCCCTGTCTGCGCTACACATCAGTTGCATTAACATTCAGCATGCTTTTTCCGTCTCCTTCTGTCACTAACCATAAGCAAACCCAAATGCATGGTCTTCAACAGAAACCTCCCACAAATTGAATAGCCGATCAAACTCTTCCTACTGAATGGCACTGAGATTCAATTTGTCCTGCTATAAGTATCTGGGAATTTGGCTTGATTGTTCACTCTCATTTGAAACACATCAGTACTCTCCTCTCCAAAGTTAAATCCAGAATCAGCTTTCTCTACCGTAACAAATCTTCATTCACGCACCCCGCCAAATTCCTTCTTGTTAAAATGGCAATCCCTCCATTATTTGATTATAGTGATGTATTATACAGTTCCGCTTCAAAAACCCTCCTCCATAAATTAGACACTATCTACCACTCTGCCATCCGCTTTATTACCGGAGCTCCTTACAACACAAACCACTGCAGTTTGTACTCACTGGTGAACTGGCCCTCTCTTCAATCCCATAGACAATTACACTGGTTTCTGTATACAAAAACCCTCATTGGTAAAACACCACCATCTCTGCGATCATTACTTACCATTCATAGCTCCACCCATACCCTTCGTTCTAACAGTCTCATTAACCTCAACATTCCCAAAGTCCGTACCACTCTCCGTCGATCCTCATTCCAGTTTTCTGCTGCTAATGTCTGGAACTCTTTGCAACAATCCCTAAAACTCACCTCGTACATACTGCTCTCGTTGAACAAATCAGCTAGAATAACACTTCAAGACCACTGCACCTGTTTTTAGCTTCTCTATTTTACAAGCCTTTGTGCAATTTGTTTTGTAATATTGTGTGATTTGCTGTACATGTAATCTGTTTTTGTTGTTCGTCTTGTTTGTATGCCGCCTCCTGACCAGGTCAGTATTGAAAATGAGAACCAGTTCTCAACTAACTTACCTGGTAAAAGAATGAATGAATGAATGAATGAATGAATGAATGAATGAATGAATGAATGAATGAATGAATGAATGAATGAATCTCTCCTCATTGGGAATAACTAAAATAATACACAAGTGCTCAGAAGAATGTGCTATGTAGCAGCAAAACAGGAGAACAGCAGCAAATTCAGTGAATTAACCTTTTAATGTTGTGCAACAGTATTATATGCTAGCATTCGCTATGATGAGCTACTGGTCATACCAGAATAGTTAACACTGTAAATTTGAATGGTTAAACTGTACGTACTCAATCGAGGGTGCATTTTATTATGAATATAACTCTTAGAGGAATAAAAGATAAGCCTTTATTAGTCCTAATTAAACATGGCTGCATCAATGTTGTTGATATTAGATTGTATAATTATATTCATTAATTTGAAAAAGGGTCAGCAGGGGTGCCAAAAATGGACATGACGTTTGACGCCACCAGACGATTGTGAGTACATAAAGCAGTGCGGTGATGCTAAGTAACAAATGTAAGCATGCCTGATCTAATGCTGTTTTTCCTCATGTTTTTCTGTGGTCTGACCTGCCAGTGGCCACGCTAAGATCAGGCTTAAAAATATCTCAACTTTACCACAAGAGAGACTTGATGTTTTCTGCAACTACATGGAAAAAACAAATACATGCATATGTTTTGCAATCGGCCAAAATAAGTTGGGAAATATCAGATATTGGCAAAAATCCAGTATCATGCATATCTAATTATACAGCATACAGTGTTGTCTGCAGGTTCACTGAAAACATTGCTAATATATGTTGTCACTACAAAAATCGAGGTGACCATTCTGATATTGTTCTGTTGCATTTTATTACCTGTAATTTTACTATTCATGTTCTGTGGTGGATGTACTGCCCATCCTTCGGCTCACAACTCCTTATAAAACCAATGTGCACGTAGCCTAGCATCATAATGCGCCCAGTGGAGAACAGTTCAAGCAATGATGGATTTTCCATGTACAGGACATTAAATTTGATCAAATAATATATGCAACAGTTCAATATTTTGAATATAACCAACAGTGGACGAGATGCGATCTCATATTTCCTCTCACAAACCCTCGAGCTAGAGCGCCACTGGTCTAATGCTCTGCATGGCTTTAGTAATGCTAAAACTGTGGGAAAATCTGGGAATTAGATTTACAATCCAGAGTACCAGAAAAACCAAAAGAAAACTTTTCCCAAACTAAAATAAAAAACGAAGGAAAGCGAAATGTTTCAACTCATACATGAAGTACACAATCCCTAATTTGCCTCCATAAGTCAAACGCATTACAACCCAACACGGGACCCGCTATCAAGTCCCACAGGAGCCAGTGTATTACAGCCTGTACTCCGTTCCCATTGTATTTCAAACAGGGACAATATCACCACAGTATTTTTTGACGTGTATGTGTCATCTCCAGTCATCTAGTCCCACAGGAGCTGGTGTATTCCTGTCTGTGTTAATTACAGAAGGCGGCCCTCCTCCCTCTGCGGCTCGGTAACACAGAGCGGTGTGGGTCGGGGCGGTCGAGTGTCCCACGGGGGAAAAACAAACACTGGGTATGCACAACCTCACGCTCTGTGTAAGAGGCTGATTTATTGACACCCACAACAGCGGTTACCGTAATGCGCTGCCCTGGTGTGGTCAGCCTGATGTGAGTTCATTGCCGTCCTGTCATCATCCAGGAGATGAGGAAAACGTCCAATGTTTTTGCATAACTGGATCGGTCTTAGACGCTCAGACTGTCAAAGGAAACAGGCCTTTGGGAAACTCAGAAACTGGTCTGGTTTTGCTAATCACGCAGTCTTAAGAATAAATTACAACAAGACTGCGCTGCAACAAGTGAACTCTACACATGTAAGTGATAGCTTTGGTGAAGTCTTTGGTTCTTAAGGGTTCATTACTGCAGTGTTTTTTTGTGCTATATTTCCCAGAGATTGGCTAACAGCCCTGGGATTTTATACTGAGAAAAGTGTACTACCATAGAAAATAGAGAAGCCTTCCTAAAGGCAGTGTGTCTTAAAGGTGCTCTAGTCAATATGCTTATGTTAGAAATGGATCAGAGGGATGTCTCCTGAGAAAAGGGTCACTTATTGTTGCAAAGAATTATCACCAAACTCTGTACCTTTCCTCATGTGCAGAGTAGGTGTCGTAGTGATTTCTAGCTTATTGTTTTATAGCATGCAACATCTTGGTTAAGACAAGACTCAACATGTGCTGCCTGCCATAACTGCAAGTCAGCAACTAGCTACAGTGGAGTATTTAGCAGCTAATATACAGGTAAAAACATTTCTCCTGCTTTTGTGTTTTCCAAAACATGACTAAATCAATGTTAGTTTTGATCCTTATGAAAACAAGATTACAAATTATGGACCTCAAAATCATGCAAGCATATACTAGTTCAGATTTGTGCCGCGTTAAAAATGCAGCGTAGACGTTACTAGATCCTACCTGGTACGATAGCCATCCTAACTTCTATTTAACAGGCCGCTCATTCAGACATGAAGCTGATACATTTAGTTGTCGTCAGATTAACGAAAGGAGCACATGTTCAAAAAGGGGTTGAGTTCAATCAAGTCATTAATGTGTAGCAGGAGATTGAAAGTGATCACCATCACCAACGCAAACTGACTAAATTAATAGCATGACACAACATGAACGATCAATTAATTAAAAAGACACACAGTCCATTCAATACACAACATTCTGTACACACACCTCGTAATGGTAGTCCATGCAGGTGAGGTCTCTCCAGCATTTGTCGCCTCTGATTTTAATAAGACCCTGAAAAAGACAGAAAAAAAAAATATCTTTTACGACGAATCTTTGTAATACCTTCAAACCTTCCAGCAACAGCTGCATGGGCTGTAAATCATGTAAATAAGCAACCATCTACAGCACATTAGCAAATCTGATTATAACTACAGTCAATAAAATCACACATTTAGCTTGTGGGGCCTGAGAGGAAAGACCGTCGCTCAGGTGGACACTTCAATGGACGTCTACACATTTAGTCAAAAGCACATGAAAGCAAGAACATTCTCAAAGAATTACCTGAAGACAGTAAATCATAAAATTACATTATTTCACGAACTGGATTCTGCTAAATAATAAAGGAATCTATGTATAATCAGTTGAACCATGTTTTAGGTAAGACGACAGCTAAAGACAAGCATAAAAGTCAAGGAACGGTTTCAAAGTCAGAGTGCAATTTGACAATTTTAACATTCACTGGAGCAAAACATTTATCTCTATTAATGAATGACTTTCATTAATGACGCTTACAATTATGCTCCTGCCAAGATCGAGAAAAAAGACAAGTGGTGAGCTGAAAATGTTCAGTATTTAGTTGATTTGATTATTTTTGACTCTATTGTTGTATTTGAACACCAAATGTGGGGACTAAATTTTAATATTCATCCATCCATTATCTATAGACTGTGCCTCACTAGGGTCATGGGGGACTGGAGTCTATCCCAGCTGACTTAGGATGAAGGCAGGGGACACCCTGGACAGGTCGCCAGTCTATCACAGGGCTACACTTAGAGACAGACAACCAAGCACACTCACATTCACACCTACAGACAATTTAGAATCAACAATTAACCTCAACATGTTTTTGGACTGTGTGGGAGGAAGCCGGAGAACCCGGAGAGAACCCACGCTGCATGGGAAGAACATGCAAACTCCATGCAGAAAGATCCCTAGTGTTCTTACCAGGACACAAACCGGTGACCTTCTTGCTGCGAGGCAACAGTGCTAACCACCGAGCCACCTTGCAGCCCTAAATTTTAATATGATGGCTGCAAATGATCTTTTTCCCCATTCAAGTTTGCAACACTTGCAACTTTAGTAGAATATAAGATTTTCACCATCACTCACAATCAGGGCACACTGTTATGTTGTAGGAGGGAAAGAAAGGAGGGAAGAACACTGAGGAATGAGAGGCAAAAAGAGGACAGATCAAAGAGACGGAGGCATTAGAGGAAAACCATACATTAGAGGAAAACGATACACGAGGAACAAGAAGACTAAAGAGAACTTTGGTTTGATGAATGTCGGGAACTTCGTGTCTAAATTAATTTGCAACTTAAACTATCAGTCAATGTTCTTTCGTTTGTACATTACATATAATCCAATAACACTTAAAAACATGATTCTTCTAATGTCCTGAACGTTTGTCACCTCACTTCTCCTCTTCCCTCTGCACTTGACAAACCCTGGCTTTTATACGTGAACCTTAAATGTTGGTTTTAAGAAGCGGCTTAGACACTTTTAGCCACTTTTATCGGTAGTTTGGATCTTTGTTGAAAATGGTGAATAAGTTTTGTATAGGAGCAAGAGCAGGCAACGAAGGTAATTAGCAGACTGATAAGCAATTTTATTATTTATCTAATAATAAAAAACTTGCCTTAATTTCAGGGCAGCCTCACTTTGTTGGGAACATTTGATAGTTGCAGTAATTTGTCAGTAAAAAAAAAAAAAAAGTGTATATCATAGTATCAAATAATCATAATGTAAATTGTGTAGAAACCATCAGCTCAAATGAGTTTACAGCATGATAGTAATTCTTTAAGGTTGAACTCTGACACAGCGGTAACTATGCCAACATACTTGTAATCTTAATACATTACTATCACTAATTTTACTCAGTGTCAGAGGAAAAGCCAGGGGATTACCAAAACTAGGCCCATCCTGTGAGGATTATGAGTGTCTGTGCAAAATTTCATGGCTGACCCATTTGTTGAAATGTGTCAGTCTGGACCAACACGGTGGACAAACACAGTCATGTTGCTGGCATGACTAAGAATCACACTTCACTGCAGAGTTCCCATTGAAATTCTAAACCATAGAAATGCGGTTTGTCGTGACATCAGAGAGAACCGTTAGAAGTCCTACAACCTTGATCATTGGTGAACAACTCTTCAGTACAATTCTTCTATATGATGAAGTTTCCACTGACAGTAAAGACACATTTGAACATTACAAAGTGCTGAGCCATGCTTGAAGATTAAATCTAATTTGCTTGCAGTCTGAACACTTCATTAGCTTTTCTGAGCTTCGGTGTTCTTAGTAACAGATCTCGGTCACGCTAATGCATCAGACTGGGAGCAAGCCCTAATAAGCTATAAAGTTATGCAGGGTGTCAGGTGCTGTAGCAGTGTTACACAAAAAGCAGACGTGCTTTTGAAGCCGTAGGAGTGTTTTGGTCCTAAAGGACTTACTGTGCAAATAAATACACAAGACTTTCAATATATAGAGCACACACTGTATACAAATCTCAAGGTAAGTGTGCAGCATTCAGGATATTTCAGTGTATGTGAGGCAGAATGGCGAATGGTAATCATTAAAAATAGTATCTGAGAGAAGATTTTTCCTTTATAAAGTAATAAAAAGATGATTCAAACTCAACAAGAAATAAAGGAGAAACATGTCCTCAGTTCTGGGCCTGTTTTTCACTAACTGAACTAAGTAAATAGCGTGCTATCCAGGACACGAGACTGTCAATATTGACACATTGGCCCGTCATGTGGTTGCCATGGAATGTGGAATAAATCGTCCGCTAACCGCTCTAACCAGATTTAGAAAAAACCAGGACATTTCATTCTGATTACGAGCCTGGCCCGCCGGCTGCAGCTGCCGGCTGGTGAGGTGGTGCAGCTGAAGATGCTGCTGATAATCCAATTCAGTCATGAGATCCTGAAATGTCATCAAATTACAACCTGATATACAGACCTCTGACATAAACAGAACAGTCAGTCTGGAGCGTCAAGAGCACCGGGCTAACGATACCTACGTGAACCCGACAGGTCTTTATAAGGAACACTGCTGAGATTAAATTCAAAGAGAGAGATACTTCACAAAAACTCAATTATAATTTGCTGAAATGAAGACAGAAAGTTGTAATTTGTGGACAACGCCCAACCCTTTTAGAAGACATAATTGGCATAAAAGTGAATTCTCCATCAATTTCCTCACCAAAAAAAGGCCATGATACATTCGGTCAGCATGTGATACCAAAAGGGCAGAGTGAGAAGACTTTTGAAACATGCTAAATAAAGGGATGTTGCCCCCTTCTAAAACAACTGAGGGTCAGACCACAAACCCTGTCTTCCCGGTACTCCAAGACTTTGACAAAAATGCATATGACATGAGGAAAACCACAAGCACTGAAAATGTGAGAAACTGGCGAGCAAAGGTTTATCCTGGAGCTCAACAATGAAAACAGGATTTGAAAAAGAAAGCAACAGGAACCGTGGCGAGGGCATCACAGCTAGACTGGTCTTAGATCCTGTACTCTGACAGACACACATGCATTTTAATAGCAAATTCTTTGTTGAAAAGAAATTTTATTTCTATATGTTTTACAAAGAATTTCTTGGAAGATGAATGAAAAATGCTGTTCAAGTGTATGATCGCATCTTTCCTCCTCTGTAGAAAAACACCATCTGATGGATGCTTGCTTCTTAAGCTGCTATTATCAATAACTTTATACTGACAATGGATAAAATTGCTGCATATATCTCTTTCAGTTTGTTCTTTTGGGTTTATGACAGATAACGTTTCTGTTTTGGTTCACTCTTACTGCTCTTATCTGCACTGTTTTTAAGCTGAGGTATAAACTGTTTTCAAAAAATGAGCTGTGATAAACCTACTGTGCACAAGAAACTGTAGTTTCTTAGCAACAGGCAGGTTAACATATGAACAGATTTGTTTGAGAGTCAAACAGGGCAAAAACAAGAGTCAACTTTGGACATTACTTCATCAGGAAAGTAGAAAATTTACTCTAAATGGATGCTGATGTTGCTTCATGGCTGCTGAATGTATTTAAAAGACGAAATGTTTGTCTTATGAGCCTGAAAGGTGATGTCAGTGTTGAAAAGTAGTCAAAAAGGCAGATTAAACTGAATTATTTTGCAGTATTTTACCATTTTATTTCATTTTAAACCTACAAATGCATTTTAACCAACTTCATAACTATGAAGAATCTATTCAATTGTTGCTTAATTTGGAAGACTGTAAATGAGAACTGGTTCTTAATTTATCTACCTGGATAAATAAAGGTAAATAAATACAAAACAAAACTGACCTTTGTCAGTTACTGCTTTGATAGGCTGTTTCTTACAATTACTCATAGGTTGAAGAAAGTGAAAACTGTATTTTTCCACATAGGTCAGAGAAACTGTGCAGCAGCACTAAACAAGACCTCATCAGTAACTCCACTTGTATACACTTGAAGTCATAGTTATAGTCATAGTGTATTAAATATAACAGTCAAGGCAAACCTTTCCATTTCATCAACCAGGTGCACCCCAGCAACCCGGACAAATCAACACATCGGTAACACATGTACCAAAATCTGATTCGATTCAAACTTGCATGCTGCCGTCTGTAATGCCAGTTAACACCCAACAATCCACACCTAGCAAAGCTTTTCCAACTGCTGGAGTGTTTAACAGAGATGTTCCTGCCAGCAGTAAACGTATGATCCAATTCACCAGGCCAGCACCTTTAGCAGGAAGCTCATAAACATTAGCAGAAAGCCAGAGAAATCAATCATTTGTTCACACTCTGATTAGAAAAAGATTCACTGACTTCTTTTTATGAACTTATCTATCAAAAAACATGATTCAATAAACAGTTTTTTATTAAGGGAGAATCTATGTCAGTGCACTCTAAGTGGTTAGCAGTGTGAAACATTCTTGAAGCATTCTTGCTATGAAAATGCTTGTTATGTTAATGTTCAGGTATACCTTAAGGTAACAAAGGTGAAGCTGATTCATCTTCTTGTGTAAATATGAAAAAAGTCAGCATACAAATGCAGTATATCCCCCCCAAAAAAACAGTTCAAGGCAGGTTTTGTTTCCAACTGCAGCAGCAAAAGCTATGCTACCAGAAAACTGTTAAAACCTAAGATGGGAGATTTGTCTTTGAATAATTTTGCCTGTTGTAAATACTTTGGTGGCATGTTAGAAATATCGGCTTCACAGCAAGGCTCAAGTAAGTAAAAGTGCTCTGATTTAACCACAGCATTACGACCACTGGCAGGTGAAGTGTATATTGAGTAACACTGATCATCTTGTTAGTATGCAATGTTCTGCTGGGAAACTTTGGTTCCTGGTATTCATGTGACTGTTACTTTGTGCTACCCACCTAAACACTGAAGGACGCATGGCATGGCAACATCGCTCCCTAACCTCCTCCAGCAGGACAATACAAACTGCTTCACCACAAAAACTGCTAAGGAACTACTCGAGGAACATGACAAAGAGCCCACGCCGTCAACCCAACCTCCAGAACCTGCAGATTTCACTCTCCAGCATCTGCGACACACACTGGAACAAGTGCCATCTATAAATCCCCAATCCTGCAACCCACAGGACCTATAGGATTCAAAGCAAACATCCTGGTGCCAGATATCACAGGACACCCTAAGAGGTCCTGTGTCCGAGGCCTAACATGGAAAAAGTCAGTGTTGTTTGGGCAGCATAAGGAGGATCTACAAACTTACTATCTCAGTGGTTTTATTGTTGTGGCTAACTGGTGTATACATTCATATTGCCCTGAGCCACACTGACTCTACTGCGTCATCAGAGGCTGCAGGGCTATTTAGAAAAGAGGCCAACAGTCATCAAAATGACAAAGAAGCAGGCAACATGAACACATGGCTGAAACACCTATAAACAAGCACTCTAAAAGTTATCTCCCTAACGCAGTTATCAAATAGCATAACCAGATTTTACAGGGCTGTGATTTAATTTGAGGTCCACTAAGCTCAGGCTTATTTATTTGTAAGAAAAAGTAAAGGGGCTGTAAAGCTGCACATCAATCAGCAGTAAAACGTGACACTTCTTCACTCTGCTTTTATGTGAACATGCCTAGTATATTTAGTATTTACTGTATTTAATGAGCCAGCACAGTCTCCTAAAATCTAATTTGCTACATTTTTTGTAGTTTGCCGCCTGATTACCCTCACAGCCAACGGCTGCTGTAAACAAGCTGCTGCAGCACAAATTAAAAGGCATCCAAGCAGCTTAATATGTGCATGATATATTCAACACACCCCAGCTATGCTAATGAGTGCACTAATAACGGTAATTAATGCAATAATTAGCTATTTTTACAATGTCAACACACTTGCTTAGCACAACATATGGCCGTGTGATATTTGTTATGATTTTGCAGCCATATGTTGGAACTGATTATGTTTGTGCAACCTGCTGTGTGCGCGTTTGTGTTGGAGGTTCTCATTGTTTAAATGAGCCAATTACTTACAAAATGAGGTACCCTAGAGATGGTTCTTCATCAAGCTTAGTAGGGTTCCTTTAACAACAGCGAGCAAGGTGAAAAAAGCACATTATATGTTTAATATTCTCTGAGGACTTTTATTTTCAAGGACAGATGTGTCCAAAATGCTGAGTGTGTATTAAATTATTGCAACAATTGGTAAAGAATAGCAAGTATTATTATACAGTAAGCACTTGTATTCAGATTCTTCTTTCTGTATTTACATATTACTGTCAACCAAAAACCCTATCATGACATGTCGACATAGAAACGGTGACTTGTACGACAATCTGAGACATTTCCTCGTCATTCTGCGAAAAAGTCCCATTTGCAGGGACTTTTGAAGCCCTGCACTAAGCTATGTCATCCTTACAAGCAGAAACTCTTTAGCAGCTAAAGAAAGTGGTGAACCACAGTGCTGTCAGACAGATAAATGGCTGTGACCAGGGTGGATCAAACACTGAAGGACTGTGGTAGAGGCTGTGCTGTATTTAACACTACTGACACGCTACACAAAGTGACTGCGACGGGAAGTTCTTCTCTACAGTCACAGTTTCAAACATCATGAGCTCTGCCTTTATGATCTCATGCAATCTGTAATGGATTAGTCACTGTGAAATATGTGTAAATGTAGGAATGCTAATCATGCAGTTAGAATAAAAATAGAAAATATCCAATTGAGCATCAAAGTTAGCCAAGTTGCAAGATTTTTTTAACTTTCAAAGATAGCCAGTGCGCTTCTTTTGTTTATTGTTTAGCATCTGGGTTTGATTTCCTGACAAAAGAGCATGTGAATGCTATTTGGGATGTAACTCAATTGCAGAATTGCTATAAATAAAACTCACTGTGAAAATCCCACATCAAGATTATCTTAAATCTAATCAGTTGATCGAGTTAGACCTGACTAATATTAAGTGAACTCATCAGCCTTAGTCTAACGGATATTTCTTATCATATGTTCAACACATTCAGAACCCCCTCTAGTGACATAACTCCATGCATAACCCTGCGTACATTCTTAATGCCATGTATGCTTCACAATTGTTTGTTAAAATAGATTAAATTTAAAAGAGGAAAACGAGTAGAAACGATGCAAACTATCAAGACGTACATATGTGGAAACATCTGGTAGCAATGGAAAACCAATAAAAAAAAGTTTGATTCTCGGTACTAGTGATTAAAATCCTCATTAACACAAAATTGGCTCTTACTGTTATATAAATAGGAGTTACAAAAACAACATCTACACTATCTGCTCTATGAGGCTGCATGTAGGTACAGCAGAGTTAATCATGTGACAGTATGACAATCCTAGCATGTTGATGTTTATCAGATCTACACGCTATTGCTAATTGCTAATTAGCATTAAACACAAAGTACAGCTGATTCGGATGGAAATGCCAATAGCTTGAAAAAAAAAGTAAAGTATGTGGGGTGATTCAAAAGTCCGGAGACTGTTTGTGTTGAGTGTGCATGGAGTGTGTCACAGTCCCAATACGTGTGATCAATAACTGCCATGAATCAGGATCAGGAGACTCTGTGTTACTGCACTATCAACAACGGGACCTGCATTACACACATTTTTGTAAGTGCCATTCATGACTGCCAACTGGAACAGTGAAGAAAACATCCCATTCCGTCAGTCGATCTGACCAGGATCATACAAGACCTTCACTGGTGAGGAGAAGTTGGTCTGTGGCTACCACCAAGAGAAGAAACAGGAGTTGTCACAGTAGAAGAGACGGCAGTTTCTTAGACCAGCGAAGGTGCATCGTTGTTTTCAACATTTACAGAGTTATATTAGTCCCCCAGGGTCTGACCGTCTATGCAGAGCTCTACGGCAACATGAGGCATCTGACAACAACCTGAACTCTGGCATGATAGCATGTAGGTCAACCAACCGCATTGTGCATCCTGTAACATATTAGTTTTTAGGCTACAACACAATTGTTGCGCTGCAGCCGCCATACTCGCTAGAATTAGTTTGTGGTTTTGACACATGGGAGGAGATTCAATACCCATAACTGATGGTGTGTGACATGCTTACAGAACAGGACTTCAAGAGTGTTACAGGTTTTTGTAACTATTGCAGGAGTGCTGGATGTGCACTGGACAAGGAGACTACTTTGACAAAGATGGCAACCAATTTCAAATCAGGCATCAGGTTTCAGATTTTAATAGTCAGAGTCTTGGAAATGTTTGATATCACCTCATATTTGAAAAACTAAAATCCAGACTTGATAATAGTGTTGGATGAAAAGGGAGAGGCTCACCAAAATAATCTGAATTTATCCTTAACGGACCTGAAATATCTGGAAAATGTCACAATATTTCATCAAATATTTGTCAAGAAATCTCTTTTTGGACGATAAGCATCAACTTCACAGTTGCAGATAAAAGTCAGAGGCTCACCAAGGTCAGGAGTATTCATTATCTGAGGACTATTAATGTCTGTAAAAAAAATTCCATGGCAATCCACCTAACAGTTATAAAGATATTTCAGTCTGGAACAAAAAATAAGAGCCGAGTAGGGTCCCCTTCTGGTTCAACTTTCTTCATGGGCTTAATGGGAAAAATCCTGCAGAACTTGTGGTAACTGCAGTGAGTGACAGATAAAACAGAGCCGGTGGTCTACAGTTTACCATGGAAACTGTCAAACAACCAGACATGTTGTTTGGTCCACCATATATTTGGTTTGGCTTTAACCAAACGTTGGCAGAGTTTTAGAGCAAAACTGTGTTGCCAAAGAAACAATCTTAAATAAGGAGGGCAAACATTGGAATAGCCTGGGGAATTGTTCTGTTGAGAAACGGGTTCATATCTACACACTGGATTGCTGGATATATCAGGTGTGTTCATGTATCAATTTTAATGTGGGGGTTATACGGGGTTATAACCACGAAGACGGAAGGAAAAAATAACGTCTTTGTAAAAGCATGAAGGCAATTACGATTAAAACATCGAAAATATTTACAGATATTAGATGGCAGAAGCTTAGACACATTCCACAGTACTTCTCTGTTCTCAGTTGGTTTGAAATTACTTTGGCCTCACCGACATTTATGTCATTACAAATTTTAGCTTTTTTTTTCTATCAGACTAGTTGGTTTCTTTCGTCGATATGGTTCATGTTTTCTCTGCAGAGTTGCAAAAATTCCCTCTATGTGTTTGTAAAATGCTGTACTCACAGCTCCCAGCATGATGCGAACAATGAGCCACCTGAAGGTCCAGATGCAGACGAGGGAGGGCGGACAGCGACGGGGGACCTGAGACAGACTCCACACCGGACACAAGAAAATAGCCAGAAAGCCCGTCTCCAACAGCTGGCTCTCCCAACCTGCACGAAGAATCAGAAATCATTTATAAAGCGCTTTTTTAACTAAGGTTCAGTGTGCTATAGCACAAGTGAGCAACTAATGCTTAACAGTGCAGGCACATTACATTTCATTAACAAAATACTGCACAGGCCCCTGAAAACAAGATGATGTCATGTTTCTGATGTGGAAATCCAACAATGAGCCGCAACATTGAAACCGCCTGCCTAACATTGCACAGAGCCCCCTTGAGGCAGCTCAGCAGCTCTGAATCATTGGGGTATGGACACAGGACATAGGTGTCCTGTGCTGTCTGGCACCAGGATGTTGGCATTGGATCCTTTGGGTGCTGTGGGCCTTCATGTATTGGGCTTGTTTTGGCACATCTCATGGATGCTTGCACAGATTGAGATCGAGGGACTTTGGAGGTCAGGTCAACACCTTGTGCTCTTTGTCGTGTTCTTAGAGCCAGTAATGAAGGATGCACTGTCCTGCTGATGGAGGCCACTGCTGTCTGGGAGTGCTGTTGCCATTCAGACAATGTGCACGGGCTTCTGCAGTGTTTAGATGAGTGGTACATGTCAAAGCAGTTGGACCAAAGGTTTCCCAGCAGAAGACTGTATTACCACGACATGATCAAGTTCATTCCCTTCCTCTGTTAATGTTGAGACTGATTGGTGTAAGTAACTGAGCAGAGCAATCGCAAACTATAAACGGAGTAAGAGAGGAACGGTGCAGTTTCTTGTCTGGCACTGTGATAATGTACTAAATGTAGAGATGAAATGTGCTAAAATAAGAACATCTGCATTTCCAAAAACGGTGCAACAGAGTCTCTTTGGGCCAAAGACGAAAGTTAACTCTGACTTGTTCATCAGCCAGAGTCATCATGCCAAAATTAGAAACGCAAACTTACAGTCAACAAATACTCAGAAATGTAATTGGACAGCACCTTAATCCTATAACAAGCTGGCTATATGGTAAACAGCTTTCTAACAACATTATTTGTGGTTGGTATAATTTTTACAAAGAAACTTTGCTCCATGCTGCTTAAGACACTGTCATTCCAGTCACTAGCTGTGTTTCCATTTAACTGTCAAGCAAGCCAATGAAATGTTGCAAAAAAAAATTTAAATTTAGAACATCCATCCATCCATTATCTATACACCGCTTAATCCTCACGAGGGTCATGGGGGCCTGGAGTCTATCCCAGCCAACTTAGGGCGAAGGCAGGGGACACCCTGGACAGGTCGCCAGTCTATCGCAGGACAATTTAGAATCACCAATTAACCTTAACATGTTTTTGGACTTGTGGGAGGAAGCCAGAGAACCCGGAGAGAACATGCACACTCCACGCAGAAAGATCCCGGTGCCCCCACCGAGACGTGAACCGGCGAAAATTTAGAACATGACACTGCAAATTAACCTCGTTTCCCGTTAACTGCTTTGGAGTGAATAAACTAGTTTGAATAGTGACGTCAGATGGTAGCAACACAGACTATGTTACACATGGCTGTAATTAACAGAGTAGAAGAAGTTGTTAACTAGTTGTAGGCATATTGATTGAGCTATGTACCTTTACTATGTTATTACAGTCTTAAATTATGCTAAGAATGACAAGACTAACAGACCAAGTATGTTTGCCTTCTCGCCATGTCAACATGCTAGCATTTGCTCATTAGCGTTAGATGGTCAGAACTTTTATTTGAACATGGGAGAAAATACATATATTGTAATGATCTGATCAAGTTCCCATTTTACAGCCTATAATAAGCGCAACAGATGGTTTTAAGTCGTATGCCTTGCAGCATTCTCAAAATTCAGCTCGACCTATTACATGCTGATACAAATTTCTTTAAGCTGGACTTTCAGAAAAAGCGACTGCTCTTTCAGATGCGGTTAGAGAAAAAAAAGCCAGGGGTCTGCTGTAGCTGAATAATTCATACATAGAGGGTATGACTGTGTGAACCAAATTTTATGGAAATCCTTTCAATACTTGTCGAGACATTTCACTTCAAACCACATTTGTGAACCCTGTGGTGGTGCTAGAAAGAAACCAGAAATGTCTCTACCAAATGTTTTGCCATCAAAGACACTAGGATTCATCCTCTGGGAACCATGGACGAACGGTAAAAGCAGTCCATCTAATATCTGCTGAGATTTTTTTAGTCTGAACCAAAACTGCGGACTGTCATTGCAAACCCAAGAGCCATGCTGCAACTGTAGTTAAATCAATTATATTCAAGTTTACCTTACTAAATGCAATGTTGTTGCTTTGAATTTTTTAAAAAGTGGTTTAAGCAAGAGAGCAATGTCTACCACTAATGTCCCTACCAGCAGAAACCCCTGGCCTCTGGTTTTCAGTCTAGACTCGGGAACAATCAGAGGAGCTTCGTCTGCAGACTTCAAGCTGCACTGTCAGCCAGAGTGTGATAATCGGTCCAGAATAAAAGAAGGACTGCAGGAGAAAGACAGTGAGAGTGAGAGAAAAGAAAAAAATTTTTTTTTTTTTTTTTAAAGGGTAATAGAAGCCACAGCTCCCAACCACAGACATGGGCCTGGCGTCTCTGACTACAAAGTGTCCTTAACCAATCACAGAGCCGCCGCTGACCTCGCCACTTATCTGGGACAAAGCCCTACATACGACCTCCTGTTTGTGCTTTGTTGTTTCTTCTCTGTCTTTACTGTGACATTCATGACAGCTTACTGGGATCACTGACTTAGAAAGAAACATAAAGCACATGAATACAAAATAATTCTGATTGTGTTTCAACCCAGTAACTAGGTTCAAATGAAGCAGATTTCTGTGCAGTGAATAAATAAACTCCACAGCTGTTAAAAAAAACTTTAAAAACTCTTACAGTTCTTCTACATAAAGTAATGAGCTGATTCTGAGGGGATACTTTTCTACAGATTTGGTTGATTTTATATGGAATGATCCATTAGATCATTAGTTTCTAAATGAATGCATGACCTGTCAGTGTACATACAAGTTTGGTTTGAAGGATGTCACCATGTCAGTTTCTCTGTTTACAATATTATGAAAGACATCAAAACCTGTCTTACATTAAAGCTTTGCCTCTAATCCACGTCTTCCTTTGGAGGAGGAGAAAAAAAAGATGGTGGATCTGGTTTCAAGTTAACTTACCGAAGGAGTACCTGGAAAGAGAGAAAACAAAAACAAAAAGGCAACATAAGAATTTAGAATTTTGATTACATGTTTCAGCCTTACCTATTATCTAGAATGAAGTACATTTGACGTCTCTTTCTTTACATAAAATTTTAATACTTGATTTTTTTTTTTTTAGCTGCTTGGGGGCAGCAAAACAAAATTAAAATACTGTATAACTAGCGTTGAAAGTTCACTTTCATTACTGAATAGTCTGCTGAATATTTGTCCAATTAATTAATCTACATTTAAAAAGGCCATCGCAACTCCTCTGAGCCCAAAGTAACATCTTTATACATATTATTTTGTTCAACCAAATTTGAAAAATGCAAATACTCAATTTTCCATACCATCCTCTTTTTTTTCTTTTTTTTTTTCTTTTACAATTTTTTGTAAATAATTAAATAAATGAATAAATGAATGAATGGCAGCCTATAAATCAAAATTTGAAGATATTTTGCTGGAATAAACTGCAATTATTTAATGTTTCCCAATATTCCTTCCCCTACTGTTTTTATTTCACAGCTGGTATTAGCGCCATTGTGTTCACCAGCTAAACATTAACTTTATCTGTCTGGACAGGTACTGTACAGTGGGTTTGTCAGAGGTTTTTTTTTGCTGAAAATAGCTGCTTGATACATGACGATGATGTAAAAGAAAGTGCTGCTGTGGCCAGGGAAACTAAAACAATGAATCTAATTAGACTAAGTTGCTCTAAATAGCTGCAGGATCCTAAAAAGTCAAAGGTGATCATTTTCTGTGGGTTTGTCACGACAAGCAAGTCTGATAATGTATGTGTTAAAATCTTTCAGCATCAATGTATGAACAGTTTAAAAACTAATCCCAGCTGCAGCGGATGCGACCCAATGCGTGCGTCTATCCCAGACTCACCACAGCTGTCCCACGTTGACCAGGGAGTGGTAGAGCACCCACAGAGTGACCATGATGATCATATTGGCCATTCCCGTCAGCAGGACAAACCCCGACAGCGCCATCCCCACCAGGGCAATCCCATCCAAGTTGGCATCCATGTCGCTCCAGCTCATGAACCAGAGGACGGAGGGGGTGTACGCTAAGGCAGCCATGCCTATCTTCCCTCCTACATAACGTTTGACACTGTTGAGGTAGTTCTTACAGGGCATCAGGCCGTGCTCGCCTATCAGCTGCTTGTTCTGGTTGTAAGCGACGCTGAACGCCACAACTACGGAGAAAGAGAGAAGACAGAACAGGATAAATACACAAACATAACTTTTATTCAAGGCTTGCTTGCTAATTGCACGTTTTGTTTTTAGTCAAAAGTGCTTTGAAGGTGGATAATGCAACTTTTCTGGTGTCTTTTTAAGATTAGCAAGAATTTAAACAAAGTAAAATCTGTGTCGTGCTGTCTGCACTAAGTGCTTTTTGCAGATCCTTCTGGCTTCAGACTGCACACTGTAAAAACAGTGAGTGATGAGTGAATGAGACAGATGTGTTCAGGTGTAATTCTCAGTTCTTGTAACAAACGATAAATTGCTCCATCCAGGTAAAGGAGAGGAGGAGCAGCTGGTCTAACGGTGTCGTACCTGCAAACTCCAAGCAGACTAGACAACTTTGTCTGAAACTGTCCATAAGAGAGAATAATCTGGAATTAACAGGACAGTTCAGGTGTTTTGAGTGAAGTGTTGGCAAAACAAGACTGCAAGGCAGAAACTCAGTTTGATGAATCAGCTCCAACACTGATAGTGGCTGTAAACA